AAACCTATGTATACTGGGGAAGAGACTGCCTTTTCAGCAAATGGTGCTGGGAGAACTGGATATCCATATGCAGGAGAATGAAACTAGACCCATACCTCTCACCATATACCAAAATCAACTCAAAATGGATTAAAGAATTAAATATACACCCTGAAACAATAAAACTTCCCAAAGAAAACATAGGAGAAACACTTCAGGAAGTAGAACTGGGCACAGACTTCATAAATATGACCCCAAAAGCATGGGCAACCAAAGGAAAAATAAACAAATGGGATTATATCAAACTAAAAAGCTTCTGTACAGCAAAAGAAACAATTAACAGAATTAAAAGACAACCAACAGAGTGGGAGAAAATATTTGCAAAATATACATCCGACAAAGGATTAATATCCAGAATATACAAGGAACTGAAACAATTTTACAACAAATAAAAATAGGTAACCTAATTAAAAAATGGGCAAAAGGGCTAAATAGGCATTTCTCAAAGGAAGACGTACAAATGGCCAACAGACACATGAAAAAATGCTCAACATCATTCAGCATTCGGGAAATGCAAATCAAAACCAGACTAAGATACCATCTCACCCCAGTTAGGATGGCTAATATCCAAAAGACTGTGAATTGTAAATGCTGGCAAGGTTGCAGAGAAAAAGGAACTCTCATACATTGTTGGTGGGACTGCAAAATGATGCAGCCTCTATGGAAAATGGTATGGAGGTTCCTCAAACAACTGCAGATAGATCTACCATATGACCCAGCTATCCCACTGCTGGGAATATACCCAGAGGAATGGAAATCATCAAGGCGAAGATTTGACGTTCATTGCAGCACTCTTTACAATAGCCAAGAGTTGGAACCAGCCCAAATATCCATCATCAGATGAGTGGATACAGAAAATGTGTTATATCTACACAATGGAATACTACTCTGCTATAAAAAAAAGAGTGAAATATTGCCATTTGCAACAACACGGATGGACCTAAAGAGAATTTTATTAAGTGAAACTAGTCAGGCACAAAAAGAGAAATACCACATGTTCTCACTTATTTGTGGGAGCTAAAAAATAAATAAATAAACACACAAACAACCTGGGGGGAGAGAAAACACAACAATTACAATTCCTTGAAGTTGATACAAGCAAACAGAAAAGAGATTGTTGGGAGGGAGGGTGGAGAGGAAGAAGGGAGGGAGGTTTCGGTAATGGGCTACAATAATCAACCACATTGTATGTTGTCAAAATAAAATAAAATTTTTTTTTTTTTTAAAGATGACCGGTAAGGGGATCTTAACTCTTGACTTGGTGTTGTCAGCACCACGCTCAGCCAGTGAGCTAACCAGCCATCCCTATATGGGATCCGAACCCGGGGCCTTGGTGTTATCAGCACCGCACTCTCCCAAGTGAGCCACGGGCCGGCCCTAAAATAAAATTTTTTTAAAAAAGGAAAGGTCAGCTATAAAAAATAAATAAAAGTTTATACACATATACAAATATGCAATTTATTTATCAATTTGTGCATTTTTAAAAGGCTAGAAAGTGAAGAAAACTATTAACAGTGGTTCTCACAGAGGGAGGCAGGGCTGACACATACCTGGAGAAAGATGTACGCTGCTGGCTCTGTCCACATCAACTTCCACAGCAAGTGCACTGCCTGGAATACAACTTTGACTCCATACTGGAGAACTCGGGGCCCAACTGCAAGTCAGAAAACATCTATCACTACCAAAGGAGCTCTTCACAATCTGCAGGTGTCTCCACACACACTCCTCACAGATTCAGAGAAATCTGGAGTTAACTGCATCCTACCTGCAAGACTCTGAAGTTCAGTCAACCTCACAATCTGAATTCTGTCGCTCTGCAAAAGCTCATCATGGGGTTTGGAATCTGAAAATGAAAATGTCCCCTTTAATGTACTAAATGCAGCAATCTAATTTGAAGTCAGATAATCTCCCAGCTCAGACTGAATAATGGAAATTGTTTTGGAAAATAAAACTTTTCAAAACCTCTCTCTGTTCCTTAATAGCCAGAACAGAGAATGAGGCCAATTCTTGTCCAAATTCCACTAGAATGCCCACAGAGGGAGAGCCCCAATCTTGTCCACCCTTACTTAATACAATTCCTGGCACATAGTAGGCACTCGATTAAACTGATCTGGATTCCCTGAATGGTGGTATCTTCCCACCACAGGGAGACCCGTAGAAAGTCCCACTCTACCCCCTCACCCTGGGATAGCAAACTCTAAATAAAAACAGCCAGGATAGCCGACTGGACTAAAGGCAACCAGTGCTGGTCCCACTTTTCCCGGAGATGGGGTTTAGCTACCCTCTAAAGATATCAACATGGAGAATAAGGAAGGAGCAGACACCTATGCCCTGCACACTGGGGGAAAAAGCTGGTCCTGGGGAGCAAATGAAATATCTGCCTGCCTGCAGAGCTCTGGGCTGAGGGATGTAGGATGAAAAGAGACGTGTTGCCTATCAGTTCAGACACAGCCTGACCAGAGTAGCTGCACGCAGACCTGGTTACCAGCACTGGCCCTGGAGTGCCACGCACCTGGGTTCCAGTTCCAGTCTTTCCTCTGACTAGAAGAATTAAGTGAGACCACGCAATGGATTCACTTAACTTAGCACAGTTCTGACATATGGCAAGAGCTCGATTAACACTGGCTGTTACAAGATATCCACCCAGCAGAGGCTGGACAGAAACCTGGAAGCAGTGGTCCAGGCCAGAACTCGGGGAGAAGAGACAAAGGGGCGCTGCCGCCTCCGCCCCCCTGAGGCGGTCAGAGCCGAGGGTCAAAGGTTGAGATAGCAGCCTCCCTTCCAGACTGCTGGGCACTCACTGCAGAACCCCAGGAAGGTCACGGAGAAGCCGCGCTTGGCCAAGGACAGCGCGTGGTACTGCATGCGGGGACTGCGGCCCACATCCCCCAGCACCACCACAACCACGTGCCGGGCCGCGCGCCCCCGCCGCCAGCGCTTCCATCCGCCCAGCAGTAGCAGCGGCAGAACCAGACACAGCGCCAGCAGCGCCACGCACGACGCCGCCATCTTGGCGGGCCGCCGGCAGTCACGTGACCGCGCTTCCGGGTGCCGGGCGCGCTGTGCGCAGCCGCAGACCGAGGCTCCGAGGTGGGCGGAAAGGAGGCGGGGCGGAGAGAAGGGAGGCGGGGCGGAGACGTGGTTCCCTAAGTGGGGTCTTCGGAACCTTTGAGGAGCCCCTGCAAGCAAATAATTAGTAGCCTTCACACACATGCACACATTTCCCTAAACTCCAGTGTATTTGCCCTATTAAAGTAAAGCTGTTACTATATTGGAATCCAGGAACTTTTTTTTTCAGAGTTCTAAGATAATTTCAAAATAGGAGGGCATTACAAAAAGTTCGTGGAGAAATAGAATTAAAAGATAATACGAATCTTTCCATGAACCTTTTGAAGTACGCTTGTACAGTGACACAAGAATTTGGATGAACCTAATAACCGTAATGTTGAGAAAGGAGGCCAGCCACAGAGAGTACATACGCGTGGTTCCATTTGTATAAATGGAAACTAGTCTTTGCTGCTAGAAGTCAGGAGGGAGAGTGGGAGGGTCTGGTCATGTTCTGTTGCTTGATGTGGTTGTGTTCCGTTTGGGAAAATTCATCAGGCAGCAAACTTATCTGTTCATTTTTTCAGGGTGTATGTTGTACTTGCACAAAACATTTAAAATAAAAAAGAAAGAGGGGAAAGGACAAAAAAGGAAGTAAAATCCACAATGATTCTGTTTAAGTGTCCATAGTAAGAAGGGAAACTTTTCCTGGGGACTCTCCAATTTCACTTCCCAAAGTAACCACAGTAAAAAGTGTAGCGTGTGTCCATGTGACAGCCTTTTCGCTGTGAAAGCAGCGCCCTTGCTGGGAAACATCAAGAGCACATTGGTGAAGTCCCCTCACCCCCACTGCTGTCCTCCCCTTGGGAGCTGCCCCAGAACCTGCAAAGCCACCCCCCAGTCACTCATTCAACAAGCAAACAAGACAGCACCTCTTCACTTGATAAGAGCCTGAAGGCAGCACCTGCTGGAGGGCACCCCTGCTGATGTGGCTCCGCAGAGTCCCCAGAGCTCAGGACTTGGTGCACTTCCCATCTGCTTTTCACAATAGCCCTGTGACTCCCCTTTTTAGGGACTAGAAAAGTAAAGGTCACACCATTAGCAAGTATGTGGCAAGTATTCAAGAGCAAGCATTTGAAACCTGAGCTTTCAGACAGAAAGGAAGGGCAAGTAAACATGTACAGGAGGGTGGGATGGACAGAAAGACAGAAAGCCATCCCAGACAGCGAGGCCCTGCATCTAGGTGGTGTGTGCTGGAGGTGGGAGGCTGGAAGCCACCGCCTACCCAACTCCATCCACCCTCCCTGATGTGACTGGGAAGGGATCTGGGACCTCAGCCTCAAGGGTCCTGACTCTCCCGCTTGACCTTGGGCAAGTCACTCCCAATCTAGTCACCTTCCTTGCATGTCAGTTAAGGGTGGGGGAATTCATACCAGGGAAAGCCCCTCTGCTCTGACGATCTAATAGGATGAGGACCAGACACCGTGGTTATGATAAACCAAGAGTAGACATCTCGCCTGAGAAGGTGAAACCCCAATTGGGGAAGGAGTTGGAATCATTTCTCTGCGGACAAAGGGGACAGAGGCATCACCAGCCAGGGGCATTTCAGAGCTGGGCCAGGTTTGCTTGTCCTGACTTCCTTTTTGGCATATGTCCCATGTGAATTCAATCCTTCCAACAGCCTGGAGGGTACTGTTACTCCCTTGCAGAGGACAGCTGGGAGGGTGTGTTTTAGTCTCTTTTTGTTGCATATAACATAATACCTGAAACTGGGTAATTTATAAAGAAATATTTCTTACAGTTTCAGGGGCTGGAAAGTCCAAAGTCCAGGGAATACATCTGATGAGAGCCTTTTCCTGGTGGTGACTCTGTAGTGACACAAGGTATCAATATGGCAAAATGGCTGAGCAAGAGAAAGCTGGGCTCCTCACATGCTCTCCTTATAAAGCCATCAGTAGTACACCCATTACTCCATGAATGGATCAATCCATTCACAAAAGCACAGTCCTCACAATCTAATCACCTCTTTAAGGCCCCACCTTTCAAATACTGCAATAGGATTTCCCACCATCTTAACACTGTCACCGTAGGGATTGAGTTTCTAATACGTGGACCTTCAGAAGACACATTCAACCCGTATCAGTGGTTAGGATGTGGACTCAGGCATTGGAATCCCTGCTCCACCACATACCAACTGTGTGACATTGGGCCACAATAACCCCACTCAGAGCCTCAGTTTTTGTTAAGGTGGTTGAGGACCCACTTCAGGGTGGTTGTAAGGATTCACAGAAGTAAAGACAGTGACAAGCTTCACCAGGAACACACGTTCTCAATGGTGCACCTGAGGGGGAGAAAATAGTTCTTGGGGAGCAAAAAAATCTTACTCTTTTTCTGTATGAAGCACAGCTATGGATACAGTTCACAAATACACAGTGTAGCTGCAATATTAAAATTTCATGAGGTGGGAACCCACATACCTGGCTGGTGGGAAGATAAATGGTCCAGCCATTGTGAAAAATCATTTGACAGTTCCTCAATAAGTGAAACGTAGAATTACCACATAATCCAGCAATTGCATTCCCAGGGGCATACCTGAGAGAATTGAAAACAGGTTTTCCAACAAAAACTTGTAAATGAGTGTTCATATCAGCACTATTCACAAGATCCAAAAGGTGGAAACACCCAAATGTCCATTGAAGGATGAACAGATAAACAAAATGAGGTCTGTCCATACAATGAATATTATTCAGCCATAAAAAGTAAAAAAATACTTCAGATCCCCATATTGACCAGCCACAAAAACAAAAATAAAATAATAATAGTAAAGTACTGACACATGCTACAACACGCATGAACCTTGAAAATATTTTGCTGAGTGAGAGAAGCCAGACACAAAAGACCACATATTGTATGATTCCATTTATATAAAATGTCCAGAAAAGGCAAATCCATAGAGACAAAAATGGATTGCCAGGGCCTACAGAGAGGGTGGGATAGGGAGTGACCGCCAGTGGGTTGGGGGTTTCTTTGAGGGGTGATGAAGACGTTCTGGAATTAGACAATGCTGATTGCACAGCTTCATGAATATACTAAAAACCATTGCGAAGTTATACACTTTTAAAGGGTGAATTTTATGGTACGTGAATTTATCTCAATAAAGCTATGATTTTACATTTTTCAGGAAGACATGTCTAAAAACACTCCAGGGAAAGGGCAATAATGAAATGAAAAGGTAGAGAAATTAACCTAGAGCCTGCCCACAGGGAGCAACGCATACCCACTTTAGTGGTATTATCTTTATTATTGTTACAGATCTGTAACCTCTTAATTGAAGCCCCTAGGGTCAGGTATGTTTCTGAATTCAGAATAGGGAGATTTTAGAAAGATGATATGGTACACACATATATCACAATCCCAGCGAGGTTTGAGACAGCACCCAGTAAGCCCACATGAAAATTTCTCAGGGAAACAGATGTGTGCGCACACTGAGTGAGATAAATAAGAACTGTTCTTCCTCACTGTCCAGTACAGCGGCCATGTGGGGCTACTGAACCCTTGAAATGTGGCTAGTCCAAACTGAAATATGTCATGAGTGTAAAATGTTCACCAGATGTCAGAGAGTTAGTAGGAAAAAAATAAATATTAATCAATTATGTTGATTCCATGATGAAATAAAATAGATCAGTGAAATTCGTTTTCCCTGCTTCTTGTTGCTTTTCTAAGCATGGCTTCTACAAGATGCATGTGTGGCTTGCCTTTGCAGCTCAAATTCTGTTTGTACTGGACGGTAACCCTCTCAGGACGCCTGCATCCACTCACAGTAGGTGTGCCCTCAAATGAGTCTGTTCCAAATTCATCTAAAACAAACACAGAAACTTGCTTTTTAGAGCTTTTGGATTTCTGAGTTGCAATTGTAATTGCTAGATCAAAGATCCAGCTCATGTGGGCTCGGAGAACCAGCATGAAAAGGACAGGGCGGGCACCCCTCTCCCCAGCCTGTGCCAGCAGATTGCCCAAACCACCCCAGGCTGCCAGGTCAGCCCTGTCTGGCTACTTGTCTGCATTTCTGCAAGGGGAATGGGGAGGAGGTAGAGGCGGGAGGAGGGCGTGTAGAAGTGGCCTAGCCTGGGTGACAGCTCCTAGTGCTGCAGCGTGTGACCAGCCTGCCAGCAGAAGGTCAGCCATGTCCACCCCAGGGCTGCTGCTCCTGCTCCTGCTGCTGGCACCACTGCCACTGCAGCCCTCCTCACTGCCATGGCCAGACACCACAGAGGGTAAGGCCACCATTGCCGGCCTGATCTTGTCTGCGCTGGACAGAGCCACCTTCTTCCTGGAGGAGAGGCTGTCCGAAATCAACCTGGATGGTGTGGTGGGGTTCCAGGTGCTGGAAGGTGAGCCCTTATTCCCCTGGACTGGCCCCTGGGAAAACCAATTCTCAGCTTTGTCACCTGCCCCGCTCTGCACCCCTGGGACCTAACAATCTCCTTGCAGCAAGAATAGCCAGCTTTGGCTGTAGGGGAGGGGGGCGGGAGCAAGGGGGCTTGCTCTTTCTGGGTGTCAGGGGCCAGCTGGCTGTTACCAAACTTTTTAGAAGTAGGCCTGATTTAAAGGCAGCATGGGAAAAATTTTGGAAATTATTGTTTTCACGGGAGGAAATGATCCATTTGACAGCCCCTCCTGACATGCCACAAACAAGGGGGAGGGGGAGCGTGCCCTTTTAATGGGTGTTTATGGGAGGGCCACTCCCCTTGCGTGAGTGCAGCTAGGGACCGTCAAGATCAGGTTACAGCCCCAGCTTCCTTTGCTTCCATTCAAAGCCGCCTGAAGGTTCTGAGAAAATAGCTAAGTGTTTGTTTAGCTTTGAGACATATAAGATCCCCCAGGAGGGGCCTGGAGACCGGCCAAGGCAAACAGGGGGCCCTTTGCGCATGCACACACACATGCACACCTATGCACGCGCACACACATAACACTTCCCCATTAGGCACAGCGGGCACAGTGCTGAGGGCCCACAGTACTTTTTTTTTTTTTTTGAGACCGGCCGCATCGCGCTCAGCCAGTGAGCACACCGGTCATCCCTACATAGGATCCGAACCCGCGGCGGGAGCGCTGCTGTGCTCCCAGCGCTGCACTCTCCCGAGTGCGCCACGGGCTCAGCCCGGCCCACAGTACTTTTTTTTTTTTTGAGACCGGCCGCATCGCGCTCAGCCAGTGAGCACACCGGTCATCCCTACATAGGATCCGAACCCGCGGCGGGAGCGCTGCTGTGCTCCCAGCGCTGCACTCTCCCGAGTGCGCCACGGGCTCAGCCCGGCCCACAGTACTTTTAGGGACTCACAAAAATGTTTTAATTTCCTTTAAAATCAGAAGAAAAAAATTAACTTCTAGGTGGAAGAAAATGTTTTAATATATAATATCAATGTGTTCAACTTTATACCAACAGCATCATATGATATAATCTTTAATGACAGAGAAAGAAGAGGTTCACATTCGGGGGGTGTCGAGTAGCAACAGAATGCTCATTGATCTCCTGGGTCCTCTCTCCTCAAGGCTAGATGGGTAATATTGACCCTAAGAGCAAAGGGTCCCTCCAGCTGCCTCTGCCAGCTGCTTGTGGGGCCCAAATGGGGTTGCCAAATGTGGCAGCTTCCACACATGCAGGAAGAAACAAGGTTGAGGATTCAGGATCACCCCGAGGCCAGGGTGGGTTCCCTGGGTTCTCACTGATGACTTGGGTACCCCTTCTGGGGGCAACTGCGGTGCAAGCTGTCTAGAACAAGGCTGCAGTCAGACTGCCTGGGTTCAAATCTGGATCTCCCCCTTGCCAGCTGTGTGGTGCTGTTATCTGATATCACTGAGCTTCAGTTTCTCAGCCTTCAACCACAACAGGTTGGTGGCAGTATCCCGTGAGAGCGTATATACACATCATCATACCTACAGGGCTCAATACCTGTTGGCACTTAGTGCTTCTACCTATTGAGCACCGAGCATCCTCTCCTTGTCTGTCTCTCTAAATGAGCTCTTTGTGGGCAGGGTCTACATCCTATTGGACTTAGTAGTCCCAGAGCTGACACAGGAAGAGACACTTTGTGAAAATTAGAAAAAGGTGCCCTCTTTCTCAAGTCACCTGACTGCCATAAGCTGGGAAACTGTCATAATAAATGTGCAAACATTAATATGTTTTAATACGTTTACATATATTCCCATGAGAGGAATGTGTGTCTTGTGTCCCTTGTGCAGTGTACAACCTGCTCAACTGTACACAGTAACTCCACCCTGCAGTCTGAATCTCTCCCTCATTTTTTCTTATATACAGCAAATTCTAAGTCTCCTTAATTAATATTAATGGCTAAAATTTATTAAGTGCTTACTTTGCACTATGGTAATACTAAGTCCTGTCTACACATTAGCTCATTTAATCCTCACAACCCCTCCCACCAAGAACTAAGTACTATCATTATCCCCATTTTACAGATGAAGAAAGTGAGACAGAGAAAAATTACCTGACTTTCTCTGGTCACCCAACAAGAAAGTATTAGAGTCGGTATTTGAACCCAGGCCAGCCTCCAGAAATCAAGCTTTTAGCCACCACCTTCTATCACTCTGACCCTCACCCCCATTGCCTAGATCAGCCCCACAAAAGCCTAATTTCCAATAAGCTCAGCAAATCCTTTCCCCCTTGTGTGCTGGGGAAGGCAGGGAGGCTGTCAGGATGTCCAAGTGGTTTGTCAAATGGTGGAATGAACAAACTCTGCTCCCTCCCAGTGCAGCTAAAAAGCATTCGGGAGGCATGGGCGCAGGACCCCCTGCTGCAGCCGCTGAGCCAGCGTGTGGGGAAGCTGGCCAAGAAGCTGGCAGCTCTCCTCGGCAGATCCATCTTCTACCTCAAGCTGAGTGACCCAAAGTACCTAAGAGGTAAGAGCGTGGGTGGAGTCCCATTCCTCCAGGAACACAGCAGTTGGGGATGTTTGCTGAAATATCCCAGTGTGGGCTCCTCCTGGTGCCAGGCAGGCTCGGGACAGTCTGTAACCAACTGTGACCTGTCAGCCGAGCAAGCCACAGGCAGACCCTGGGAAAGTTCTTTCATCCTTGACTTCAGATTCCAATGAGCTCCCCCACCCACACGGGGGGGGGGGGGGGGAAGTAGGCAGCGTATCTCCCCCCATCCGTTCAGCTCACCCCCAATCCCAGGAGCCTAC